GGACAGAGATGTGTGGATTAATTTTATTTTTATTTTTGATGGCAATGTTCTAGCAATATTAAAGCATACATTAAACAGCCATCTCCCAACCTCATCTGCCGCTTGAATTAAGTTTTGAACTTTTTCTCTCTCCTTTCCTCCTGCTTCGCAGCAGGCGCTCATGTCCGCAGCCGACGGTTAATTTTGTGAATTAAATCAAACGAACATGTTTTGTATAGCCCACAGATGGATCCTAACTTGTTCTAGGACCCCCATATTACATCTCCTTTAAAGCTAATACAACTTATTTCTGCTAAGTTCAGTAAACTTATGCTTCTTTTGCTTCCTTTAGATAAAGTATTTCCAGCTACATTTTAGCTGTTTTACTGAACATTTTAGCTGTTTTACTGAAAATGTTAGCTTTCTGGATGTTAATTACGACTTACGGCAGCTACCTTTAGCTTATTTTTATGATGAGTTTAGCTTTTTAAAGCTATTTCATATTTAGATCTGCTTTTTTTGCTTTTATTCTTGTAATTTTTTTTCTACTTTTTGTGCTTTTCTTCTGCTAATTTGTGCCATTTATGCTTTATACAGATGTTTTCTGCTATATTCAGCTATTTTAGCTGTTTTCTGATATTTCAACTACCTTTTTACTGTTTTTCTGCAAAGTTAGTTTTTTTTTGCCTCTTTCAGCTTTTCAAATTTAACTCACATTAACACTCGCTATTAAATATTTTCAGCTCAGTTTCGGCAGCTTTCAGTTTAGGTTTTCAGCAAGAAGCATTCACACTAGCATTTTCGCAGGAAATGCAGTTTTTCTAGTTAACATTTAACCTCAACATTTAAACTTTTATGGTGACATCAACTACATTTTTTAAAAACAAGAATCATAGAAATGACTTGTGGCRGACAGTACAAGTAGACTTGTCTTATCGAGATCTTTTATTTGTCCTACAGCGTGCTATTCTTACCCATCCTGCTCAGCTCCTGGTTGAGCGTCTGCAGCCAGTACAGATCCATATCGTCCAGATCGTAGCGACACATGGCCTCTGCCAGCTCTTTGATGTTGACATATCCTGGTTCTGTCGATTCCTGGCTTGAACACTGAACGTACTTCCTCTGGTGGGTGTAAAGAGTTTCTTTGGGCTTCTCAGCAATAACTCTGAACACAAACAGAACAAACTCAATCTTTCAGGATACTTGAGTTACTCTAAAAGGGAAGAAGCTAAGCAGAGGGTTTGGACGGGCTGATACAGGCAGAACTCTTGAGTTCAGGGCAGGTGTACCTGACAGACGGCTCTGGGATGGTGTCTGGACTCGCTGGCACCTGGACTCCCTTCTCCCACTCCTGCCTCCAGGTGTCTGCCAGCAGATAGTAGTCCTCTGGAGACACGTGGTGGGAATCAGGTATCTTCATGGCACTTATCAGGTCTTTTCTGAACACCTGCAGAAAGAACCGTAAACATTTACTTTATGATCCAGACTTTARTAAAACTCCCAGCGGTCTGAGATCAATGACAAACATGGTTCTTACTTCTGCTGGTTTCTTTGGGTTGGAGGCGGGGGTTCCAGGTTTGCTGCCATATTTGTTAGAGGAGCAGAAGGAGGTCGAAGGACCTAAAAGAAAACAAAGTTTGGATTAACAAGAGAATAAAAGGACTCCGTGATATCTGGATGATTTAAAGTCATTATAAAAAGCAGAATGCTGTGATATTTGTTAATACACTCAATTTTAAGACCAGTTGAAAAATGGCCAGTACACATAAACTGTATATAAACCGATTTGATTTCGATTCATAAAGTTCTGCACCAATTAATCACAATTTGATTCAATTCAATTCAATGAAAATGTTTATTGATATTGTATCCAGGTCCTTCTCAAAAAATTTGCATATTGTGAAAAAGTTAATCATTTTCTGTAATGTAGTGATAAACATTAAACTTTCATATATTTTACACACCAACTGAAGTGGTTCAATCGTTTTATTGTTTTAATATTGATGATTTTGGCAAAAAAGTAAAAAGTTAAAGTTAGTAAGTTCAAGAAATTGGTAAGCCGTCCATGATTTACCATTTCTACCAGTTCTGCAGCAAACATTGTGACATTATTGTTCAAAAGACAATAAGGTATAGTGAAAACTGAAAGGTATGGCCCGGATAGAATATAAAGACATCTTTGCAGCACCAATAGAGACTAAATTCAACTTTTCTGCCCCCTAAAAACTCCAAATACACAACAAAATGTATTTAACAGCTAAAAAATTGGCTTTTGCATGATATGTACTGTTTAAAAGCCCGTCCTGAAAGAGGATTAGGGACTTTTTAGGTGAAATAAATAGGCAGTTCTTTCACAAAACATACAACATAAACAGGAAACAATTAAAACTGATTATATAAGGCTGTATTTATTTTATTGCATGTGTTTTAGAAACAAAAGGACTCACTCTCATTGTCGGAACTGTCACTGCTGCTGGACGACCTGAGACGTTTCATACTGTAACAACCTGCAGGAGACACAAACAAAAAGAGCATTTGATTCTAATTAATAATAAATTAAATTACCGTACACTTCATGCTGGTAGATCCTCTCGATAAAAATAACTGTTTCATGTCAGCGTGGAGGACGGGGACGCAGAGGTTCAGTGCTTGGACCAATCCTCTTTACTTTATATATTCTTCKATTAGGTAAAGTTATTAAACAACATGGGATAAATTTCCATTGTTATGCTGATGATACTCAGTAATATTTATCCATGAAATCTGATGAATCCAACCAGTTACTTAAACTACATGCATGTCTTAACGACATAAAAACATGGATGACTTAACTTTCTGCTTCTAAACTCACATACGACAGAGGCTGTGGTTATTGGATCTGAACATCTTAGGGATCAACTTTGTAGCCTTTCAACTCCTCTGGATGGCATTAATCTGGCCTCCAGTTCTAATGTAAAGAACCTTGGTGTTATTTTTGATCAGGACATGTCTTTTAAACCCCACATTAAAAATGTTACCAGGACCGCCTTCTTCAACCTGTGTAATTCACTAAAATTAGAGACATCTTGTCCAAAAATGATGCGGAAAAACTGATTCATGCATTTATCCACGTTAATTGTGATGTATAAAACAAACGTGCGTGGATTCAGGCGTACGCACGGTTTGATACATCTGGATTTTTTTGTGTGTACACAGTTTTCTGGATTTGACCGTACGCCACGTTTCAGTAAGAAATCCAGGCAAGTCTTTGTACATGGCCGGTAGACTACAGATCTCTATCATAGGACAAATTTATATCGTTTCTACCGTATATCATCTATATTGCGCATTTCTAGTGGGGGGTGCTGTAGTATGGAGTGTCTTGTTACTAAGAGCGATCTAGTCCAAAGCGGCTGGGATGAAAATCAGTTCCTCTAAGTCTGAGATCATGGTTCTCGACTGCAACACGGTGGAATGGTCCCTCCGGGTCGAGGGAGAGTCTCTGCCTCAAGTGGAGGAGTTTAGTATCGGAGTGTCTTGTTCCTGAGTGATGGGAGGATGTAGCAGGAGATGGATTGACAGAGCGGGGTTGCTTTGGTCGGTCGTGATGAAGAGAGAGTTGAGAAGAAAAAAAAAAGCTTGATTTACTGGTCTCTGATTTACTGGTAAAATCAAAAAATGTGATGGCTTTAAAATACAAAATCAAAAGAATAAACAGTGACGATAAAATTGACTAACCCAGAACGGGATGTTTTGCAAATTACCACATTTTGTTCGACATCCTCTTTATGAAATCCAAACCACTGCCAGATTATTGATCCAATGTTGTTTCTCTTCAGAACTATCCGAGTTGTCTTCAGTTTTAGTCGCATGCTCACCCGAATCTCCCGCTGCCGCCATGTTTTCCCTACGCACACATGCTCCTCTCTCTGTGTCCAGAAGGGAGGGGGCTAGTGACACGTTCAAGTGTGTCGAAAAATCAAAACTTGCAGGGACGCAGCTTATTGTTTGCATGATGATTTGTACTCGATGGTTACAACGAAGCCATTTTAACCATTGTACATRGAAAAACTCAGGAAACATCGAGTATATTCGATACACTGCCTACCGTGCAGTGCAATATGACATGGTGAAGGGGATAGGGATGTCCCGATACAACTTTTTCACTTCCAATACGATACTGATATCACAACTTTGAGAATTGTCCGATACCGTAGCTCCAATTTTACTGACTGTAACTAAAACAACGTGATCATTGCACTTAATCTTCACTCAAACAAGTGTGTAAACAAATTAAACATCACTCTAATAACGAGCAAAAAATAAATAGTAAGAATTAGTCAGTTATTTAAATTGATAGCTACCTTTCTTACTGCTGCATTTTCTGAGCATCATGTGGAGATTAGCCTCTCTCTCCTGCAGGGAGCAGTTTTTATCACTGCTCTCGTCATGTCGCGCTCATATTCCAAAACAAAAGCTGCGCTCTCCTTTCTTCTGTCAATCAATCCCAGAGCTAATCCACGGGATGTCAAAACTGTAAGCGTGCTGTCCTCGCTTCTGCCAGCTTAGAACCACCGACCGGACCAGAGAGGAGGTTCCGAAACAGCGCGGCTGTGTGCGGTCACTGGACCAAGGCTGAACCGAGCCAAAACGCAAAGCTGCTGCAAGGGTGGAGAGTAGTTGTCGCTCCGGTTTAAAACGTTCARGGTTCTGTGCCCCCTTGGAAAACGRGCATGACAACTTTGCACTTAGCTTCAACTCTGTTCCTGATGAAAATAGAAAGTTCTTCCGACATTCTTGCCAACTTGTTAGCGCAGCATGTTGTTGTGATCACGTGAGCGCTGCATGCTGGATCCAAGTGCTGCTGGATAGAAACACTGGAGCAGAGTCAGTGAACTGCTGGATTGAACTGCTAATATCAGAGCGCTTATATTGGACAATTTTTATGCAGGCAGATAAAATCTGATACTCATTTTTTGGCTGATATCGGACCGATATCCGATATCAATATCGGATTCAGAACAACCCTAGAAGGGGATAAAAACATCTAACCTTTTTGGCGATCTTGAGAAAGGCAGAACTTTTTAACACTTCCTGGAGAGAGGTAAAAGAGACGAAGCTGAGCAGATAACCGGGAGGTTTCCAACAAACTGGCCGTCCACGGTTACACAAYCACTGTGACAAAAACCTGACCTAACCTGAATAGAGTAGAAACGTGCTCATGGAGAAGGGGATTGTGTATCCTCACTGGTCTGGGAACGCCTCGGGGTCCCCCAGGATGAGCTGGAAAGTGTCGCTGGGGAGAGGGAGGTCTGGGTTTCTCTCCTGGACCTGTTGCAGTGACCCAAATATGAGTAAGCGGAAGAAGATGGAGATGGATTTACAGGTTTTGTTAAAAGTTTACTTTCTGATTCAACAGCTTGTGGAGTTAACAGAGTTTGGTGGATGTAGAAATGTTTTTATGAGCTTTTAGCCAAGATTCTGATGTTTCTGTGGATACCAAACATGTCAAATGACAGATCTTAAGTTAAAAGAGGTTAAAAGAAACCAGGACATGGGGGCCTCAAGAGGTTAAGTGCAAGAATAAAAATCTATTTTGTCCACAGGTCCTGGACTTGTGGTTTTTACTAGACTTTTTAAAGCAAAATGTCAACTACCACTCTAAACACGTGCACTATTGAGAAGAGCAGTGAAATACTGTTCCCTCCTCCTCCGCTGTAGTTCTGCTGCAGCTGAACGGAGGAGAAACAGGATGGACTTCACAAACTAACAGAGTTTACTTTCAGCCCACAGAACCACCCAATGACTCACTTAGGTTTGAAAACGCAGAGGGACCCGGACCTGATGTGCCCCCACATACAGTGATCTGTTTTAAGACAGGACATGCCTCACATTCCCCATGAGGACAGGAGGAGGAGGCACAGCCTGTTCCACTTTCTACCAAAATAAAACAAACAGGAAAAAAAAAATAAGGCAGTTTTTAACTGATAATTATTCACACCGTCTCCTCGGATGCAACCTCTGCAACAAAAAGTTCAGGAGAGCTCTGAAAGCATCTGTATGTCTGCTTCTGACACAAATGATCCGACGGTGTTTCTCTGCTTAAAAACTAATGGAGGAAAACAATAAATAACAAACTCAGGAAGACATCAGTTTCACTGTTTGTGTCAGACTGTCACAAAAATATACACAATGCTAAATAAACATCTGAAACAAAGTTAAGAGGGTTAAACTAAATAATTCAATGTAAAATGCAACCTAACCACTTACTGGACTTTTCAAGGCTACAAAGATGAACCCTAAACTGATGTCGTACATCCACCAAGCTGCTGATCAACATTAACAGGTGGAGCTATTGAGCAACAAGCAGCCTGGCTGGTGTCTAATTAAAAATAAAGATAAATAAAAACACCCCTCCATGTTGCAGAAGTGCACAGCAACAAGTGATTTTGTGTTTGAAACAAGGCTCGGGTTATTAGGGTCGGGCAGGCCAAATATCTGCATTTAAAAAGGACTGAAAGGTCACACATTAATTGGACCCAGAATATATTTGTGTTTATAAGACATTAGCATCTGTTTGTTGGTGACTGCTGAGTGAAAATGTTGTTCCTGGAGCGCCAGGAGGACAAGTGTGCAGCATGCAGATCTAAACTGCAACAAGAGTTAACATATCAGCCTGGTGGGCCGCCAGARTTTACCTGCCTCCCCGCCAGGCTTTAACACGGAGCGTCGACACTGACACATTTTGTCACCTTTTTTTAAAACACCATAAGTTCTCAACAGTTTGTGCAATCTGAAAACTTCCAACGGTTCCTGAAAGCCAGGAACCTGGGCTTTTCYCTGATACAGTATATGTGGTTTTATATGTGACCAGTTGCAGTAAGTCCGCAAAACAACCTCTTTGTTTAACCTCCTCCAAAGTTACGAGCGACAGCGTGTTTTTTTCAGAGTGGAGAGGAAATATTTAGTTAGAATAAAGTCTGGAAGATGTTCTTCAAGAGTCAAACCACCACGGAGGTTCCAGGATGATTTTGAGACCTAAGAAGACGTTGATGAACCAGCTTCTTGTGAAGAAAGACAACTTGAAGTTTCTGAGAGCATCTTTCTTGTGAATGAAGCCAGTTTTTACTTTTATATTTTATTTTATGAATATTTGAATAGTTGTATGTTTATTTTTTATCACAGTGTAATAAGTAAGTTACTTTGTACAATATATGCGTATTTAGAGTTAGTATGTGTAAATACTGTGCGCATTTGTCTCTTCAAAAAAGCAATTTTTTGGGGTATCAACCTAATGTTTGCTCTGTAAACCCTGCCTTGTTTTTACTATATATATTGATTGTGTGTGTGTGTGTGGGTCTGTGTGTGTGACTAGCTGAATATTCATTGCTACTTTCTTTTTGTCTTGTAGTGAGGACCAGCCATCTTCAAGTTTGGGAGGAGGCAGAGGTGGAGCCAGAGGAGCAGCAGTGAGGATGCTGAAGATGATGTGGATGCTGTCAGAGACAGAAGCTGCTCACCAAATCTTCTCAGATGGAGGACTGAAATGGAGCATGATGATGTAGAACAATGGGCCTCATGCAAGAACCGTTCGTACGCACAG